TTTTTAAAACTTAATCGTGTTTATTTGGTCCCGCTCAATATGTCAAATGCGGGCGACTTTTCCTTGAGTTGAATTCTTAAGGATTTTATTCAGGATCAAAAAGAGGAAGGAAAATTCGTCGTCTTACGTCCACGTCCTCCATAAAACGTCAAATTAGGAGGTTTCACGTCGTAGTCGTGCAGTGGACGTCAAAGGAATGTACTAAAAAGCGTGATGCAGGTGCAGAGCTGTTGTTTTGATCATCAAACCTATTGTTTTTTGAAGTTGTCGTCGTCGTCGTCGTAGTTGCTGAAGCTCCCTAATAGGGACCTTACGAAACTACGACGGCCACGGTAAGGAGAACGTCAAAAACGCAATGCGTTTAATGAGCAAAACAACAACTCTGCGCGTGCATTACGCTTTTTTGTACATTTCTTTGTTGTCCCTGTACAACTACAAGGCCTCTGGGTACGATGGCCTAAGCGTAAGTTTTCAAGAAAATTGCACCGGTGTTTGCAAATCCTTTATGGAAATTACCTAACCTTTCAATATCGACAAACAGTTTTCCTAACCACTGGAAAATAGCTAAAGTCACACCACTGCACAAAGGAGCAGCATGAAATGATAGCAACAATTATCGCCCATACCGGTTTTACCTATGCTTTCGAAAATTCTCGAAAAGAACGTGGCCAGCTCTCTATCTTTTTTCTTACGCGATAATAAATCATTATACGAGCTGCAATCAGCCTTCAGGTCAGGACACTCAACTGAAACAGCCTTGATCAGACTCACGGATCAGATTCTAAAATAACATGGACAATGACGAAGTGACGGGTTCTGGTTTTTATAGATTTCCGAAAAGCTTTTGATGTGATTGATCATGAACTTCTTCTAAAAAAGTTGTCTATCTACGGTGCTACCCTTTCTTCTGTTGCCTGGTTCAAATCTTACTTGTCTGAGAGGAAGCAGTTTATTTCCTTAGGGAAAACTACGTCTAACGACGGTTAAGCAAGGTGTGCCCCAAGGGTCAATCCTAGGTCCGGTGCCCTTCCTTTTGGCCGTCAACGATATGCCCTTCCACGTCCAAAAGTCAACATGGACATTTATGCATATGCCACCACTTTATCGTTGAGTTCAAACTGGAAAACCCTGCCATTACTAAATCAGTCTTTGTCACAGGACCTTAGTGAAGTAGAGAGATGGGCTAGAGAGAACAAAATGTATATGAATGTGCAAAAAAACTAAAGCTTTGTTGGTAACGGAGAAGCGTCTACGAAAGCGCATGGTCCAAGATACAGGGAAAATGGGAGTAAAAACGGATAACACAGAAATTCAACAAGTCGCAAACCATAAACTTCTTGGTATGATCATTGATGAAGATCTAACTTACGAAGTGCATGTCGATAAACTCTGCGACAAACTTTCGAAGCGACTCGACCTTTTACGCCAGTAGTATAGTACATGGCAGCACCGGCGCATATCATATATTATGGATTTGACCCTGGGTTTTTGATGACGTCAGCATTTTTTCCGAATTGGATTCCAGGAATTTGACCTTAGGAATCCGGTTTGTAGGGGCTTAAAGAAATAATGCTTTATTTTTAGTATGCAGAATATAAACGCAGATATGAAAAATTTTATCTATAGTAATAATATAATGAGTCGACGTAATGAACTTACAAGAAGATAGTTATCTGGGCTTACAGTTAGTGAGCTCGAGAATTTAGTACGAGTGAGGGAAGAAGCACACCCTATATCTGTTAGAAGGACTCCAATTCCAAAGCCATTCCAGCTCCCAGGGCAAAGAAACAGCAGCCAATAGCTGTACCACGGACAAAAATTGGTGAAAAACGGAAGGCTCTTAAGGGCTTCACTAAATCATGAGATCGGTTTGAAGACTGATAGAGATGCTTTGGTGCAGCTTCAAAATACGAGACTAGCAATTAGTAGATTATTTAACACTATACTCAATAATACAAAAGGTTTCAAATTTGTGGAGAAGTAAAAAGTAACATTTGTGAAGAGAAAGGATGATGATAATATTTATAAGCCAGCTTATTTCAATGGTAGAGCGCAAATAGTAATTAATCCTAACGATTTTTTATCAAGCTTGCAATTATCACAGCAACAAATATTAAACGGTATTGGTGTTTGGTTGCCTGAGGGCAGTGGTTGGACTGTTAGTAGTATTAATGAACATTATATAAATACAGTAGTGTATGAGCCGATGAGAGGTAATTCCTATATTCCTCTACCGGTAAAATTACAGAATTCTGCTAAGGGGCTAATCAATCTTCAAAATAAGGATAATGAATGCTTTCGCTG